CGGGCTCGGGCCGCCGAATACAAGCCCGCGGCCCGTTCAAGGTGAAATTTGGGCTCGGGCGGGCGGCCCCAAAATCTCGGGCGGGTCGGGTTCAGGCTCGGGCAAATCCTCGGGTTTTTCGGGCGGTCGCGGGCGGCCCGTCCAAAGTTTCAGCACTAAACACAACCAATTAGTCAATGTACTAGTCAACACGCCTCTTCCAAATAAATGTGTCCTCTGTTGTCACACACAAGCAAAACAGAAACAAACTTGAACAAAATCATCAGGAGAAAAGTAGGGAGAAAAGAAAAAGAAAAATCCAATTCTCCTTCGTCATTTCCCCATTTCCCAAGTGCCGATACACACAATAATCCCAATTCCCAAGCATTAATTTTTCCAATTTTTTTTAGCCCTTTATGGGATAGTCATAAATTGTTGAGAAAAACTATGAACAAGTCCAAGAATTTTCTTCAAACCTACATCGTTAAGCTCTTCAGATCCCACTCAAACAAAGGTAAGAAACAAAACCCAGTTTGTAAAACGTTGTAGTGTTGGTGAATCTGGGAATTTTCATGGCTAAATCTTTTGTTTGTTTGATCAGAGGGACAAGGTGAAAAGGAGCTGGAGCAGATAGCGGCACAGGAACAGAAAGTCTTCGCCTTTGAAACTTTGGTTGCTGCTACCAGGGATTTTCACGCCACTCATAAGCTCGGTGAAGGTGGTTTCGGACCCGTTTACAAGGTAAAAGGACCTGTCTTTTTTTTTTTTTTTTTTTTTGACTTGGTCGTTTGGTTGCTGAGAAAGTTTGGAGTTGAATTGGAATGGATTCTCAAGTTTTGTGTCTTCTCAGGAACGTTCGTGGGTATTTTGAATCCGGAAGTGTTTTGATTTCATTTCACTTATATATTTATTTATCTTGTTATTTAACTTCTGATTTCTAATGCTTTTTAAAGAACTTTTAATGGATGTAAAATTTGGGAAAAGTGGGAGAAAAAGGGTTTTCCTCGTTTAGTGCGAAAAAAAAAAGGTTGTGGAAGTGATCAATTGGGATATTGAATTAGCAATCGCAAATTAGTAAAAATTACGTAACTTGTACAGTTAAATAATCGACTTGCAACTTCAGTTTTATTCATTTCTAAGAGTGTCGGTTTTTTTTTTTTTGAATAAAAGCAATTACATATTCATGTAAGCCTTTTACTTCCTTAGGAACCTGGAGGCTAACACCAAGAGAGCTACTAAACTGAAAAATGCTATTAGATATTAATTAGACTTCTGTGGTATGTTTGTCTCTCTCAAACATTTCAACATTATCTTTGTTAATAACATAATGCCAAACTTCACAATTTACTAGCTGTTCACGAATTCCTTTTAACGGCCTAAGAAGCAGAGTTTCATCTCTTTGTGGAGAGGCATTTTAAACTTTCTTCATACTTTTGGTTTTTTCTTTTCCTTCTTAGGGAAAGTTGAATGATGGTAGAGAGATTGCAGTTAAGAGGTTGTCACACACCTCAAACCAAGGGAGGAAAGAGTTCATGAATGAAGCCAAGTTGCTAGCACGCGTGCAGCACCGGAACGTCGTGAATTTGTTGGGCTACTGTGTGCACGGCTCTGAGAAACTACTTGTCTATGAGTATGTTCCTCATGAGAGCCTTGACAAGCTTCTCTTCAGTGAGTATTGGGTTTTAAATCCTTTTGTCTAGTTCTTTTGCATTAATCTACTAGCATATTTCTTTTTACTATCTCACTTTAAGCACATTGTATGATGAAATTCTGTCGAGGTTCTGTGCTTTGAATTCAGGTTGAAAGCTTCTTGAGCATTGGTTTACTGTTGTGTGTTTCTTGAATCTGGAAAGTTGTCTTGTATATAAACTTCAGTGGATTTTTCTCTTGGTTCTGCAACATCTGTTTGGGTATTTTACAGAGAGCCATGTAAACTATTTATTTCCTATAAGCCCAATTGATTTTAACTTCAAACCAAATGCCTGAATTTCTGAAAACACCTAGATTTCTTTGAGATTCATTAATTTTGGTTGCTTATGGATAGATGTATGTGTCAGAGTTCTTCTAGATTTGTAGGTTTGTTGAATTTGTACCTACCAAAAATCTAATTTCAAGTTGATCCTATTTTTGTTTATATTGCTGAAGCTTCAAAATTAAAATCTCCTGTGATTTTTTTGTGAGTGCGTGAATGTGATGGCTAAGCTTAAGAGCACACTATCAAAAGTTTTATTCTGGTATTTATTAGCTGGCATTGAGCTAAATAGTGATAGTTAGACATGAGTAATAGGAAAAAAAAAAAAAAACAACAAAACAAGAACTCATTTTTTTCTGAATACTATTCAAAACCTTTATTTATAACAAATAACTATTCAAAAATTGTAAGGGAAAACTTATTTACTTCTATTTGCTCCATGTTCATTGGCTCTACATATTGAAACTTCCATAGCCAATACTTTGTTAAAGCTTTTTCCTTGAGATTATAGGTTGCTATGAAACAAGTTCAGGGTTCCGCCAATTACCTATAGTACTTTCTTTCTAACTTGTTCCTCAACATGGTTCAATCCTTTTCCATTTTAATGATAGAGAATTGTTAGTATCCATTAAACACATTAACATGACTTAATGCGCTTCTTGTCTTTATGCATTATGGAATATGGTTATGGCCCTTTCACACCTGAAATTGTATCATTTTCATTAAACCTTCTTTTTGGACGGCTCCTAAGACCTTGACTTTACCTCTATTATTTGTGCCCTCCAAGCCACGAAACAGAAAACCAAAGCATCTTTCCACCAAAGCAAACAAAACCCCACAATCCTTTTCAACCCCATATCTCAACCACCAATTACATCAAAATTTAATAGAATATTTTATATGTTAAAGCGTCATGATCATCATGCTAAGTATGCTTTTCTTATATTTCAAATGAGTTTTAAAGTGGTAGTAATGGTGATAGTGATGACATTGCTGCAGAGTCCAACAAAAGAGAGGAGCTTGATTGGAAACGGCGATACGACATAATATGTGGGGTTGCGAGGGGCTTGCTTTACCTTCACGAAGACTCGCACAACTGCATCATCCACCGAGACATCAAAGCGAGCAACATTCTACTTGATGACAAGTGGATCCCCAAGATTGCTGATTTCGGCATGGCCCGCCTCTTCCCCGAAGATCAGACGCATGTTAACACCCGTGTGGCTGGTACCAAGTATGTTTGTCTCGTGCCCGTACACATTGATCAATATGCTATTTCTTGTCATGACGTTTGTAGTTGTGCTACTAACATAGCGAATAAGTCATATATTATGTGGTTTTTTTTTTTACTAGTGGTGACGAGAGTACGACTCATGATAAAAACGTGTCAGCATTGTCACCTAGCAAAAATGGAAAACAAAATCAAATGACATTGTTACGTGGCAATTCCCATGCGTTGTGAACTCGAGCCATATTCTTGTCACCAGTTTCAATTGAGTTTCTCAAGTATGGGACAAAGATGATCGGAGTTGAATTAACTGTTGGATGTTTCCTTAATCCATTGAACAGTGGGTACATGGCTCCGGAGTATGTCATGCATGGGCATCTATCGGTAAAGGCGGATGTTTTTAGCTTTGGCGTTTTGGTGCTGGAGCTGATCAGTGGCCAGCGGAACTCATCGTTTAATCTTAGTGTCGATGCGCAGAGTCTACTTGATTGGGTAAGAATCAAATCAAGATTGGATAGGAGATGCATTGTTCCTTTTCATCTTTTATTTTTCATTATTTTCGTACATTTTCCCAATTCGACTTTGAAATGGCTAATTCAACTTAATATTTTAGCCCATGTTTGTTTCATAGGTTCAAATTACTGTTAAACCTTTTTGCTACAGTGTTTTCTCTCACAAAATTGAAATTTCTATTCAAACCTATGAATTAATCGGGCCTTTAGTATTCTACTATTAGCAACGTTCCTAATTTGAAAAATTCGTACCATAGGAACTGACCGACTTCTTGAAGCCCTATATGAGAAATTGTGTCCTGTGGGCCCATGTCAACCTTGGTAGGTTTAACATCTTAATTAGGTTGTTATTTGCCAGCCATCTTCTCACAACAAGCTCTATCCAAATATGAGCTGTAAGCATGTACTTGTTTTCCTGGAGAGACTCTGTATTGTTAGACTCTTCCGTACGTTGGAACTTTCCAAAAAAAATTTGGAGACTTTCTCAGTAGGACCTCTCTACCAGTAGAATCAGTTTTTTGATCGTTGATTTAGTCAAAATCAAATTAAATTAGAAAAGTGTGTAAAATAGACAGTTTTTAATACAGATCTGACGATTGAAAGTAGTGAATTACTAGTAGTTCATTTTTTTTATCTTTACTAGAGAAACTTCCAAACTTTTTGAGTGAAATACTTGTTGGCCCAAATTATCTGCCATATTTTATGGTGACTCAAAATTTGGGAACTGGATCAAGTTCTCCGTTCACATCAGACTTGGCCAATCAAATTCTAATTCAGCTGGTTTTGATGTACCTGAATAGATCAATGAACATGACAGGAGTTTACTTTTCTTTTTCTTTTTTTTTTTTCCTGGTACACGTCTTTTTTGTTTTATTGGAGGATTCTCCCTCTTCCAGCTCATTTCTTGACAAACAAAGTCTAGGGCCCAATGCCCAAGTCTCAATAAAGTCTTGGGGCCTAAAAGTCCTAACTAATCACTTAATGCATTCCAATTTCCAACCCAACTTTTAGAAATTCTCTTAGACCATCCTTTTATAAATTTTCTGAGAGTTTTTGCTTATCAAGCTATGAAAAACAGCTGACTAATACATGAAATACTACTACATCAAATACTGTTTGGGATTTACCATATAACAATTGACGTAATACAAATACAATACAGCATAATTTACAATGGTGCACTAACCAACCATACATTGTACTTGGCATATTACAATTACAATGTGCCAATCAAATTGTTGCAGTATCGTCTGACCAATATTTGGTAAACAAATTTGTGCATCTAGTATTTCTATCAAGTCATAAAGCTCACATTGTGGGATTCCGTTGATCTGCAGGCATACAAGCTTTACAAAAAAGGGAAGAGCTTGGATATTCTTGATGCAGTATTGGCTCCAACGGCAGTGACTGAACAAGTAGCAATGTGTATTCAAATAGGTTTGCTATGCACACAAGGTGATCCAACCCTCCGACCAACAATGCATCGCGTGGTGGTGATTCTGTCCAAGAAACCTAGCAATCTAGAAGAGCCGACTAGACCTGGAGTGGCTGGTACCAGATACAGAAGGTCTAGGCGACCCGGAGCGCTGTCTTCTACTGCAGGAACTTCTGGTGAATCGAATTTGTCCGATTCGAGCTTTAACACAAACACTGGGACTGGAACAACATCAATGTCCCAGCAAAAAATGAGTACAAATTCACCACCCCAGCCTAAAACCGGAACAAGTTCAAGAAGCCATAAATCGGATACTCGGGGCAAACGCCCCATTGAATAGTTAGTCTCGCTGGTTAAAGGGAAATTTGGTTTATTCTTTAATGGATTTGATGTCTTTTTTGGTTCATGTATATATAGGAAATGTTGATAGGTATATGAGTAAACTAGTTGACAAACATATCCGGTTGAACTTGCAATTCCTTGGGAATACAGCAGAATTGCGTTGCATGACGCGTCCGAAAAATAGTTTTTGTGACCTAGAGCGAACGGGTCAAATTAGTTGGTTCATGTAAAGAATTTTAGATGTTTCTTAATTCTTATAGAGTTAAAACATAATATAGAGGACCTGGAAAGGAGAAGCAGTCTCATGTCGTAGTTACTTTAGGGGTGATTCATTGAATGAAGCATTTTTTTGTTGGAATGAAGGCGGTCATGATTTTTTTTTTTCAATGTGCACTCTTTTCTTTTGGCGTACTTTTAACTCCACAAAGAAGTCAAAATCTAGTTCCAGAAAAAATAAATTTCTGGCTCTTTCAAACTGCCGTTCGCTCAGTGTAGGCTTTTCTAGCTGATATACGATAACGCACCTGTTGTTGTTGATGTCGATCTTTGCTCTTCCCATTTTTTGTTAAATGGAATTATGGTAGTACTGTACCAATATACAAAGCAGCTTCTTGTTATATGATTTTTGAATTAATCTCACAAATGATTCTTGAGATTTACACGCAATCTCACTTTAGTCCTTAACTTTTAAAACGTCCCACAGTTAATTCTTGAGATTTTCTTTTGTTTTAGTTTTAGTCATTCTTCTAGTTAGGTGTTAAATATTTGACAAAATATGTGAAAATTAGGAACCAAAATGTAAAACATCTAAAGATTAGAGATTAAAACAATACAAAAAATAAAATTTAATCTCTACAGATAGTCTTTAAATTTTTAGTTGTTTCCAATTTTGATCCTAATTTATAGAGATTTCTTTAAATATTTAACATCTAACTAACATAAGGACTCAAATTAAAACAAAATAAAATTTTAAAAACTGACTGTGTGATATTTTAAAAATCAAAGATTAAAGTAAAATTGAGCGTGCTATTATTGATTTTCAGCGCCATAAAGCTCCCATCCAATCATGTTATTGTCATTTTAAAGAATATCAAACCTAGTCCTACACCATTATATATGACAGAATATGCAGCAATGTTGCACTTTAGCAAAAACGTTCAACTGATGCATGCACTGAAAAGTGTTATCCAATCATATTTAGGTCAATTGTTGCATGGGACGCATTTTCCCAAATCTTTGATGCGTACTAAAAAGTTAATACAAATCAAATTAGTTCAATTGTCATCTAAAAGTGTACGGGGCCTATAGTATTTTTCGCAATCGTTCATTATTTTATCGCGTGAAATAAATTCCAATTTTTTTAACATACACGCTAAGGTTTTATGATCCAACAACATTAAATCAGTTTTCATATAAAAGTAAATAGTCATCTCACTAACAGAATATGATTGGATTCAAGATTTATACAGTGAGACTAACTTAGGCCCCGTTCATTTCGCCGATTCGAGTTTAGAATTCGAGTTTTGCTACAGTAAAAAGCTCTCAGAAACAGTCACATCTAACTTTTGTACTACAGTAAAAAGTTCTCACACAAAATCACATCTCAACTCGAATTATAAACTCGAATCAGCAAAATAAACGGACCCTAAAATCTTTTTTTTTTTTTTTTTTTTTTCCATTTTTCGAATTCGGGATGGGAAGATTCAAGTACAAGACCTCGTTATTGGAAGAGGCGGGGGTCGATGTACTGCCGAGCAAAACTCATCTTAGAACGGCCAAAAACGGCTGATTATGCACTAATTAATCATGTTTAGGCAGATAAGCCGCTTCAGAAGAAATGTAGGGCCCTAAAGAAGCAGATACTTTTTAGCATGAAAAGCAACGACAGACCATAGCAATGGACACATGAACATGTTTCCTCACAATAAGTAACTTTTACAAATCTTATATAAAGTGAAAAAGTTTTCCAATAATTTTTCTGAATTTTCATGGCCATGGCGAGTTAATTCCTCTACTTAAAAATTAAAATAAAAAATAAAAAAAAAGAGACCACAGTGAACATTACGCCACACGCGTTATCAATCTTATCATTGAGAAAGTCATAGTAGTGTCTGCTACCTAAAATCACAAGTACTAGAAGTTACAAGTAAAAAAGAAAAAAAAATTACTAAAATTTTGTTAATTTTACCGATTCGAGTTTTATTATAGTAAAATTTTTTCATAAACAGTTACATTTAACTTTTTTATTAGCTCTCATATAAAGTCACATCTTAATTCGAATTAACGAACTAAATGGATCCTAAATAATTAAAGTTAAGTGAAAATGAAGCTATAGTCATGCCTAATATGAGAATCTATACTTGAATTCATAGTTGACTCGGTCAAATGTTGAATGTATGGAAATGTTAAGTAAATCCTCGTTAATTTCACCGATTTGAGTTTTCAGTTTTAGATTTCTACAGTAAAAAGCTCTTAGAAAATGTCACATCTCAGCTCGAATTTAAAACTTAAATCCGCAAAGTGAATGAGGCCTAAGACTGCTCCGAACTCCACTATAGTTCCATCACATTTTCGAGACTAATTGTATAATTTACTAGGAATAAAAAAATTTGGACAAAACATTCATGACATGATAACTCCTTTCATAAATGTGCGAATCAATACTTTTTTTGGATTACGATTATTTAGTTATCGTTTGTTTGCTCTTAAGTGAATATGTGGCTTGCATGCTTCAAGAAAAAATAAAATAAAAAGAAAAATCGTGGCTCTCAAATAATTTTTTTAATAAAAGAACGTGACATGATTTGATTGATTAAATAAAATTTTTTGAACATCAAAATTGCAAAGGTGATTGGATCCTTGTATTGTGTATAATTTCATAGTTTAAAGTTGATCCGTGTTATTTGAGTTAAAAGCCGATCAAGAATAACTTTTCCTAAACTCAAAGCTTATAATGAAGGACTAATCATTCATTTACCGTTTATTTTATTAGTTCGAATCATCACTCAAGCTTTTATTATTGTGTTTTTTTAACAAAATTTTTAAATTTAACTTTTTACGGTACAATATTTTTCCATATAAATTTACTTTTCAATTCGAATTAAAAACTCAAAGTAGCGAAACGAGCCCCGTTCATTTCGCCGATTCGAGTTTAGAATTCAAGTTTTACTACAGTAAAAAGCTCTTATAAACAATCATATCTAACTTTTTTACTACAGTAAAAAACTCTCACATAAAGTCACATCTCAACTCGAATTAAAAACTCGAATTAACGAACTGAACGGTAGTGACTTCTTACTCTGATTAATGAAAATTGATATATTATTAGCCTAACCAAATCTCTAAAGTGTTAAAAGCAAAAGAGAAAAGTAATCTATCTACTATAATGCTAATTTAAGATGATACAAATTCAGGGGGAAATGGAAAACAAGCCAAAACAAGAGATAACAAAAATGCCGCGAGTCACCATTATAATTTGTACAAAACAAACCATGTGCACAGCAGGTAATCTAGGAGAAGCAATTAGCAAGGCCCGTGAGATGTGCGTCGTAATTGTACTTGCAGAGTAGATAAATCCATTTGCAGAAACAGAATTTAAGAAAGGTCGGAGGGACCCACCAAGTCTAAATGATAATAGTGAAGTTTTTCTAAAATCATGAAAGAAAAATAAAATAACACAAATGACATTATAATGAGAGATTTACCCAAAAAAAAAAAAAAAAAAACGACATTATAATGAGAGAGTTACTAGTATATATTGTCCATATGTACGTACAAGATATTTAAAGCTTCACAAAAAGAAAAAAAAAAGTACATTATTTAAATTATTTCTCTAGTTTGCTTAGAATTTACGTTAAAAGTTTCAAGAATTTTAGAGATTTCTTGCTTCCATGAAAATGGTTGGTTAGACCTGCTTGAAAATCGTTAATTGCTCGGGGGGTGGGGGAAAACTGATGAATAATTATGTCTCCGTTTAATAAAATGCACCCATTAAGGCATTTTGATAAACTCTTCCGTAGCTTTGAATTTGAAGTCATCTAATATTACTTGCATTATAATTTTTAGTTCAACGGTCCCTCTTCAATATCTACCAAGGTTTATCACTCGTTTGATTAGTAGCCCGTTTAATTTACAAGTACGAACATTAAATTTTAACAAAAGTTTAAATTTATTTAAATTTTAATGAAAAATATTATAATAGAAAATGTTAAACCATAATTTTTTAGTTCAAAACTATAAAACAAATAAAGATGAAATAATACGCTATATGATACAAAAATTCTCCAACTCATAGATCCCACCGTTAAAACTTTGATTGAGCAACTAAAAGAATTTATTCCACCCATAGAACAATGATCTACTATAAAATTTTCCAAAAAAAAAATAAAATTATGAATCTCCTTTAAGAATATTACCTTCTTCGCTTCTATGGGTAAAAATCATGTATGTCTTGGCCAAGTTAATTTCAACATGGTCCCTCAATAACCAAATTTAAAATTACAACACAAATTTTTGATGATTAAGACATTTTTAAGACAGAAAAAAGGGTACGACCCCAGTAGTTCAACCTTGGTCCAACTACTGTTCTTGTGCGAAAAGTCAACGAAAAATCAATGGAAATTTCAGTTCCTTATTGGCGGGAAATGTGCTTTCTTAAGGAACAAATCCTCCGTACATAAATCCAAACACAGCTCTGGCTGGTGGGCCCGGGTGGTTTTCAGCACTTGGATGCTATCTAAAACTCAGTGAAAACCAGCGTCATCAATCTCAACGATACCCTGATTCCACGTCAATATCCAATTGGTTTTCAGATCTTTAATAACTTTGCTGACTTCTTTACCTAGACGTCCTTTCAAATCGCGACACGTGTTAGCTGCACGGAGCTCGGGAACAGACGATTGTCACTCTCCGTTTGATTCCCAAAAGACGCCTAAATTTTCAAAATGAGGGGCAACGGAGTAATTTTCCTGCTGGCACAAATTGTTCAGATCCCCAATTAAAGTTCCCGTCCACGTCATCGATCCGCGTTTCATTTTACTAAACAAAGAGACCGTTGGATTAGAGATTGAACTCGTAATCCCCAGCCGTTGGATAAAAATGGCTCTCATCCTCTCCTATTTCGCTTCGATCCGATCCAAGAAGAAACCCCCATTTTAAAAACCTCCCCCTTACTTTACCTACTTGTCTGTCTCTGCACCAAAATTCCCTCTTTCTCTCTCTTAAAGCTTCCACTAACAAACGCTGATTTTCTCGGGAAACAAACACCAGCGCATGGCGACCGAGAACTCGAGCAATCCTCCTCAGCCTCCGTCACCGGCTCAATCTCTCCCTCAGTACCCAGAGGTATGCACACACAAGCAGTAAATTTCTCGTCATTTGCTCAGTCTCTGTACTTCTAGGGTTTTTGCATGGGATTTTCCCAACTCGAGCTTTTTTTATTTTTTATTTTTATTTTTATAGATGATAATGGCGGCGATCGAGTCTCTGGACGAGGAAGGCGGCTCCAACAAGTCGTCGATCGCGAAGCACATCGAGGAGACGTGCGGAAACCTCCCGGCGGCTCACACGACGCTCCTCGCGCACCACCTCAACAGGATGAGGCAGAGCGGCGAGCTTGTTCTGGTTAAGAACTGCTACATGAAGCCTGATCCCAACGCGCCGCCACGGAGGGGACGCGGACGTCCGCCCAAGCCAAAGGCTCCTCTCCCGACGGGATCCGCCGTGGCTTCGCCGAGGCCACGTGGCAGGCCGCCGAAGCCGCGAGATCCGTTCTCTCCGCCTCCTTCGCAGAAGAAGAGTCCCGGCAGCGGCCGGCCACGCGGCCGTCCGCCGAAGAAGGCCAAAACAGCTCCTTCGGCGGCGTCGGCTCCGAGCGACGGCGCGCCGAGAGGGAGAGGAAGGCCGCCGAAGGTGAAGCCGGCCGTGGCTTCTGTGGCTTGTTGAGTTAGGTTTTTTAGGGCTGTTTTGTTTAGAGTGACTTTAATTAAGAGCGAGAGACTGATTATGATTATGATCTATTAGACTTCTTTTTTTAGGCTTAATTTGGCTAATTTGTGTTTTATCCTTATCCTTAATCTCATTTTAAATTTTTATTATTATTTTTTTTAATTTGGTCTGTGTATTAGGTGGTGAATGTTGTGAGGATTGTACTGTTGGTGGTGGGAGGGTCTTCTTATGTGACTGTAATTGTGATGTAAATTGTTTTCAGCGGCTGTTTAGGCTTTTCTCTCTCTCTCTCTCTCTCTCTCACTCGTTCTCTCTCTCTCTCTCTCTCTCTCTCTCTCTCTCTCTCGCTCTCTCTCTCTCTCTCTCGCTCTCTCTCTCTCTCTCTCTCTAGGTGCCAAAAAAAAAAAAGTTGCAATGAGACTGATTCTGATTACTTTTTTGCTCTTTGCATTTTTGTGCTTTTTCCTAAATTTATTGCTTTGGCGCTTTAAATCTAAGGGGTTAACACGTTCTACTTTGTTTTTTTGGTTTTGGTTCTTGCAGAAGCAGCACGCTTGGTTTCATTTGGTAAAAAGATCAAAGAGAGCCATGAACGTGCCTTAAAAGTTATGCTTTACTTTGTTAGCATTTTGTCTTCAGCCAATATTTACTATTTAGCATTCCAAAGCCAAAAGAGAAAAAAGAAAGAAAAGAAAAGAAAAGGCAAGTCTTTGGTTTTTTTAGTGAGTTTATTTTCTTATTTTATGTTTTGGTTAGCATTTTTGAAATTTTAATTCATATTTTTAAATATTCTTTTATGTTTTCATTTTTCTTTACATATTCGTACGTGACATCTTTTCCTTTTAGGGTCATTGTGACTTTGAAAATAAAGGGTTCGTTTGGTTGGAGGATTCAAATTATGTGATTTGAATAATTTTTAATTTATGTGTATTTTTTATGAGAGAATATTGTAGTGAATTATGAATCATGATTCGAATTAGGAAATGTTTTTAAAATGATTTTATTTTTAATATAAAAATAAGATTGTTTTGAGTATTATTTTAAAATTAATTTTAAAATTGTATTTGGTTGATTTTTTAAGAAATTATTTTAATTATAATAAAAAAGTGTAATCGTGTTTAGTTATAATTATTAATTAATATATTATAATATTAATGATTTTATTTTTAATATAAAAATAAGATTGTTTTGAGTATTATTTTAAAATTAATTTTAAAATTGTATTTGGTTGATTTTTTAAGAAATTATTTTAATTATAATAAAAAAGTGTAATCGTGTTTAGTTATAATTATTAATTAATATATTATAATAT